CACAGACACACACACACAGATTTGCTGCAATTAGAGTCATATGGTGTGAGCTTACTGCCTCCCACGATTTTACCCAATAAGGTCATTTTGTAGATGAAGAAAACAAATACTTCCAATACTGCAAGGTGCCTATTTCGTATTTGCTTTGCAGCTCTATAGTCTCCTTTTTTCTCAAGCAGTTGATCTAATCCATTTTGTGCTCTTGCATTTCTATGATCTTTTTCCTTTTTTGCAAAACTGTTACTTTTCAGAGTCTTATTTCCCAATTGTACAATAAATGAAATATGATCCCATTTATACAAACTCAGAGATATTGCCGTAGATGATGAAATAGAACAACAGCTGTACAATTTGCTGAACAGAAAGTGAACGCAGCACTTAAATGTGAAGCAAATATTTTTCACACATTTGGCACCTGTTTGCCTACAAAGAAATTTGTTTGTCTGGGCTACATAATTGAATACCAATTTTGCAGCAAGTACTGCCTCTTAGCAAAGAAATGGTTTGATCTTTGTTTAAAGTGTGTCAGCTTTTTAGACCTATTAGTAGTTGGATCTTCTTTGGGACGAGTGCGACGCACTGGGGAGGCAGCACTTTAAAAGGTCACTAATGCACTCAGCTTGCTGAAGGGGGAAAACGGCATGTTGGATGTTTGTTTTTGCCTTTTTTTAAATCTTTCTTTACAGTGAGTTCTCCAGAGATCCTCGCCAAAAACATGTGAAGAAACCATATTACTTTGACTGTGAAAAAGGAAGATAAGGGAGTAAGTGTGAAACATTTCCATCCTGTCTGCTACAACTCGCTGCACGAAAAGGACCACAGATGATCAGACATTTGCAGAGAAGAAAAATACAATCGCAATTCTGATTAAATTAGAACATTTTGTAAAGTGAAAATAAAATAATGTTTATTCACAGTACAGTAAATATATCAAATGTTTAAACTTAAAATTTGTATTATTATTGTTTTTTTACACAAGCTGCATTTCCATTGCAAATGTGCGCAAAACTTTGTCGATGTTCTGTTAATGTCGAAAAACACAGTTTCGCAACTGRGGTGTTTCCATTAAGTAAGAAATGCTATTAAAGTCACGCGTGAATATGTTTGTTCTCGCGATAAGTCATTACAAACATGGCGACAATGGATGTAAACATATAGCGTGTTGCTACCGCGACACTAGCGCTCATCATCAGCCATCAGAGGAGACGTTGGCGTCTTTTATCGAGATTTTCCAGCGACAAGTCCCTTATACTTGGGAACGGCTACATATGCTGTGTTTTTGGGAAATTGTAGTGGGTGAGTTTACAATTTTATACTAATTCTGTGATATTACTACTATTTCCACTTCTGTTGTCTTCTTCATCATCGCCTTTTTTGCCAGTAGAAACAGCCGGTTGTTGATCACGTGACTCCCATGATGCGAAAAAAGTGTTTCCATTGCAGTTTTGCGAAAAACACCAATTTCAATACGGCCGAAAAACCACCTCATCCTAGCGCAAAAATATTTTATCGAAAAATGTAAATTTTTTCGAAAATGACGTGCTTCCWTTGAGCAATTTTTTTTTCAAAATTCTAATTTGCGCATTTTCATGGTCAATGGAAACGCAACCAGTGTCTCCCAGCTTTTTCAAACTTGAAGTTTTARAAGGTAAACGGTGTGCGAGATAACAGACGTGGTCCATCAAAGGCAGCTAAAGAAATCGGGGTCAGCAGCGTCAGAAGCTCTGAGGGTCAACGTTTGTTTTGCTGCGGTCAGSAATATGTTGCTGCAGCATTAAACAAGCATATAGGGGCAGTGGAGCAGAGAACCACGGTCACAATGTAACATCGACTAGGGGCGGGCCTGCAGATAAGAGCCTGGATGGCTCAGTTCTGCCAYCATCCCCAGTTCAGAGAGTGACTGCAGAGTACACCTGGGCTGGCAGCTGCAGACCATTCAGGGACGACTGGGAAAGGCTTCTTCCTCGGCTGCAACCCAAACTGACAAAGGGAATCATGTGCAGTGGAAGGAGCAAACAGAACAAGGGTGACAGCGTTAATGTGTGACTACATTATACAGAAGTGTGTGTGTGTGTGTGTGTGTGTGTGTGTGTGTGTGTGTGTGTGTGTGTGTG